CTGCTCCTCTCCGAGTCCTCCTTCTGCCTGACTGCGACGTCAGGGGCCTGAGGTGGATAGGGATGGGGCAAACAGTTCATTCGGTAAGAGGCTGGGGTGGGAGACCTCCAGAAATGAGCAGCTCCTGCTTGCTGAGCAGGGGAGACAGTGCAGAGAGGCGGGGGCTGCCCATCGCCTCCAGCAAACACCACTTCATTGTGCTGGGCTGTAACTTGCAGGTTTAGGGCTTGCCTGGCAGGGTGCGGGGCCATCACCCCAGGCCTGCGCCCAAAGGACCTAGTGGCATTGCTGGGGTCCCCTGCTGCGGCTTTGCCCAGCCAAGCCATCTGTGAATGTCCAGGGACCCCCGTGCCTCTGCAGACCCTGCGCAAAGGCACTGACACCCGGGAGCTGACTGTCATGGTGCTAGCAGGGGACGGAGCAGCTTGACAGAGTGGGACCACTGGTGGCAGCGGTGTGGCTCAGACCTGCTCACCTCACAGCTCTGTCAGTGGGGGCTGTGCCAGCCCATCCAGTCCCACATCTACCCCCCAGTCTGCAGCTGCTGTTGGGTGCAGCAGGAGAGGATAATTTGGCCACCCAGGGATGCAGCCAGGTCCTGCACCTGAGAGCCCTGCGGGTCCCAGCAGAAGCTGGACCAGGGAGGGGGATGTTGGGGTGGGGAGTGTGATGGGACATGCCAATGTCCTGTGGCCATTTCTTTGCCTGTAATGACTGAGCTCCCTATGGCCACAAGCTTTCCCCATCTGAGTGCCAAGGCCTGCTCTCTGTCCCCTCCAGCTGTTATTTCTCTGAGCAGGCTTGAGTCCTGGTGATGGGCACAGCCAGGTCAGGCGATGACAGATGGCCAGGTCCCAACTCAGCACGATGACAGCCCTGGGAGAGGCAGGGCTGGCCTGCACATGGGTGCCGAGGGGTGTCAGTGGTCCCACACAACCTGCTCAGGTTTGGGGAGCACGAGGACAGCAGCCCCCGGGCCCTCGAGCACAAGCCTTGCCCTCAGCCTGCGGCCAGTTTGTGTCAGGGGCACCCACCGTGGGAGTAGGCGCTTGGTGGGACGGGCAGGTTTTGAACCCTGTCTGGCCTGACCAAGCCTGACAGGGTCTTCAGGGACCTGACACTGTCTCTGATCCCTTCCAACCTTCTGTGTGCACCCTTTAATAAACCGGGCTTTGGAGCCCCAGACAACAGGCACAAGCAGGCTGGGTCTGTCTGTTGTACATGGGCACGGAGGGGAGCAGCCTGCTCCCAGCCATCCCTGCAGGATGGGAGATGCCCCACAGTGTGGGTTTGTTTACAATGCAAAAGCAGGGCCATGCAAAACTGTGCCATCTGGGGCATTTTTGCTCATTCTGCCTTCCCCTGTCACCACCGTCCCTGTAGCCTTCTCAGTGGGTCCCCAGCTCACCCCGAATGTGACTGACCCATCACATGAGGCTTGAGGACAAACAAAGATCTCAGGTTCCCAAACATAATCCCTGGGCTCTCCCACCCCAGTGCTGCTCAGCGCTTCCCCGCCTGCAGCCCCCTGCCCTGGGGCCGTCCTCAGCAGCCCACCATGGCCAGTGCTGGGTCAGCACGCTGTGGGGCTGAGCCCACAGGCTGGGGGGTGTTGGGCTGGGATAGAGACAGACAGACAGAGGGACCCCACGGACATGTCCCCATGCTGACTGGACAAAGGAGGGTTTCATGGGCTCTTCCCAGCCCTGGCAATGCTGTTGCTGGCTGCAGAACCTGAGGAATGGCCCAGGACAGAAGCAAAGGGAAGGTCAATATTGAGCCTGTCCTTCGGCTCCTTGCTGTGCCCCACGATGGGGGTCTCTGGGAGACACAGCCCTTGCACCAGGCCGTGGGCAGCATGGACTGCCCCCAAAGCAAGAGAGCAGAGAGGAGATGAGTCCCTGAGCCCTCCAGGGCCCTGTGTAGACACTTACCTCCATGAAGGGCACGATGCGACAGGACACATCGCCCAGCAGCCTCTTCTTGGTGATCTCGTTGAAGATGACCACAGGCAGGCAGAAGAAGAGGATGAGGAAGTCCCAGAAAGCCAGGCTGGCCAGGATGGAGTTCCAGGCACTCTTCATGTAGTAGTTGTGCCACACAATGCACATCACGGAGAGGTTTCCGATGATGCCCACTGCAAAGACGATGAGGGACAGGAACATCACGGCATAGGCGCTGTAGGAGTTCTCCGTCACTGGGTACAAGGGGTTCTGGATTTGCAACCGTTTGTCAGAGACGGTGGTGAGGTTGGCTCGGGGCTCTGCCCCCTCCCCGTCCGTGGGGACCCCCTGTTGCTGCTCAGATGGGTCCGTGCTGGATGGCAGCAGGGCCTTGGTTGGGTGCAGGCTGGCAGAGTTGAGGGGCCGCGGGAACTCCACCCGCACCCCCGGCACGTACTGCTGCACCGACTTGGAGTCCTCCTCCGTGCCGCGGCGCAGCCTCTCCTTCATCACCTGGACCTCTGGACTGTCTCGGGAAATCGTCGGCAGAGTCCTACCTCCATCTGCACCCTGGGCACGGTGGGTGCTGCCTTCCCCAGGCTGCCCAGCCCTGCCTTGCATCGCCGCAGCTCCCGGCACCAGCAGCATCAGCAGCAGGAGGACAAGTGACGGTGGAGAAGGCATGGTCCCCTCCGCACCCTCCAGAGAAAGCGTGTGGTGGGAGACAGAGCAGCCCCGAGCGCAGGGACCCCGGGGCTGCGGGAGGCAAGGGAGCGGTCCGGAGGAGCAGCCGGTCTGTCCGGCTCCGGACGCTGCTCTGGGCTCTCGGGAGAGCTCTGGGCAGAATAAAAGCCGCGCTGGGGAGCGGCAGAGCCAGGCCCTCTGCTGGTCACCCACCCGCCCCCGGGGAGGCTGCCAAGCCCTTCGGAGATGCGCCAGCACCCAGGCCGGGCCGCTTGGCATCCCCCCACAACCACCCCCGACCACCCCAGCCCCCCCCCAACATCCCCCCCGCATCCCCCAGCATCCCTCAACATCCCCCCAACATCTCCCCAGCATCCCCCAACATCCCTCAACATCCCCCCAACATCTCCCCAGCATCCCCTCAGAACAAGCCAGACGAAGGATGCCCACGACTTGGCACTGGGGATGGGCTGCCAAGCTCAGCTCTTCCCACTCGACATCTTCCCCCACAGCTGCCCCCAGGCAGGCCTGGCACTGGGCACTGTGTGTCCTGTTCCCTGCCACACTCAGCCTGGACTCAGGACACCCTCAAACAGCCAGACCACCTCCCCGGGGCTGGAGGGGTGACAGGGCTGCCCTCGTCAGGAGGGCGAGATGAAGGACTGGCTGGCCTCAGGTGAAGCTCCTTCCCACATCGGGGTGTCAGATCTGCTGGCCCAGTTCTCCCAAGGTTTGTTGCTGCTTTTCCTACTGACTTTCCCCCTGGGACAGGGGTATGAACAGAACTGAGGTCCCTGATGCCCTGTACCTATGACCCCATACCCATCATCTCTCCCTCACACCCATCATCTTTCCCCATGTCCATCGCCTCTCCCCATACCCACCACCTCTCCTCTGTCTAGGCTCCTGTTCCCTTACCTGTTATTTCTCCCTGTGCTGTTACCCCTTCCCCATGCCTGTGCGACTGGAGGGACCACAGTCCCCTCTGGGGACATGCCCTGTGGCACACAGGCAGCCCATCGGGATGCACGCCAGGCTTGAAGCAGTGGGGCTACCCCAGACCTGGGGGGCTCAAGGCGTCTGTCCCTCTCCTGCATGGGGCAGTGGCAGGGGCCGGGATGCCTCACCCCATTGTGGCCAGCAAACATCAGCTTCCCCCTGTCTGGGAGCCCACCGCCGTTCTTCCCTGAGCCAGAAGGTCCTGTGGGCTGACGTCCCAGAGCACTGAGGAGGACATGGGCTTCTTGCTGCGTCACTGGGAGCTGGGAGAGCTGATGCCACTGGAGCCAGAGCAGGGAAACTGAGTCCCTTCCAGATGAGCCTGTGACCACAGCTAGCAGGACATTTGCTGACGTGGGTTTCAGCAGTGGGATGCTCCTGCTCCACTCAAAATCACGTTGTACTCAGCTGGCCCTTGGTGCTTGGCCACCACAGCTGGGCTGGCAGAGACTCCTGTTGTCCCACTCCCCTCCAGGGTGAGGCAGGAGGAGACTCTGCCCCCAGATCATTTGGCTCAGCCAAGTGCAAGCCCTTCATCCCTCCTGTGCTGGGGCCATTCCTCTGTTGTGTGTGACAGTGCTGACCAGCAAAGGCCACAGAAAGCAGAGGCACACCAGCAGCCTGGCGCTTCTGCTTGAAGTCCCAGCCTCCTGCCGGCAGCGCTCTGCCCAGCGCCCTGCAGGCAGGAGCTGGCAGCTGCCCAGCTGCTCTCCTTTCTCACACTGCTTCTCCTGCAGCCAGGCGCTGCTCTTTGACTCTTGATAATGCTATGATTTTTGAGCATTGTTTGGATATTTCCAAAGGGGAAAGGAGGACTTCAGCTCTTGCTGGGTTCTACTGGAGCAGACAGCAGCAATGCCTGAGGTCTGTCCTGGGGGCAGAGGGACAGGCGCCTTGAAGCGATGACTGGCCCGATGCTACTGGAGCCCACCTACCACAAAGGCAGAATGGCTCAGCCTGAGCTCAGTGACAGCCCAAGGATCACACAAGACGGCTGCGGGCTGCCAATTGCTTCAGGTGCTTTGGTTCCAAGGACATAAGGGAATATGTGAAAGATCAGGGGACCAACCCCAGGGTTTATGACTGCTCTGGCCTTGGCTCACCATCCCGTACTTAAAATGAGCCAAGTGTTCTCCTTAGTGGAGAGCAAACCCCAAAAAGAACTGAGCTGTGTCCAGTTTGCATGGGGGCACAGTGCTGTGCTCAGATGTGGGGATGCCAGCAGAGCCAGGGCACGGGCAACTTGGCCAGTCAAGCAGTGTCAGCGTTTTAATTAAGTCTGGTTAACTGAAGTACGGATAACGTGAACGTGCTCCCCAGTGAACCCCCAGTGTTAATCCCAGCTCCCTCTGCAAAGGCCAGGTAGCAGAGATGGCGGCATCAGTCCCCACACGAGGCTCAGGGAATGATGCCATTGCACTTTGGCAAGGCTTGGAGGAAAACCGCGCTGCCTGGTGACGGAGCTGAGCAAGGGATGAACAGAGGCAAGGCAGGGCTTGGGGCAGGAGCACGGAGGAGGAGGTCTTTCCTCAGTGCCCACATCAGCTCGGAGGAGGGAGCCCTCGGTGCGCTCCTCACCGGCCAGGAGGGACGCAGCTCCTGGCAGGGTGCTGGCACCCGGCACCCTCCTGGCCCCGGCGCAAGGCAGCCAGGTGTCTTGTTGTAAGGAGAGGGAGATATTTTTAGTTTCAATTTATGGCCGTTGCACAACGGATGGGTGTGTCATGGAGCTGCCTGAAGACAACAGCAGAGTTCACTGGGGCAAGGTGACACTTCGGTGCCACAGGACTGACCTTGTGCAAGCTCTATCACCCAGGGAATCGCTGCCCAAGCAGCCTCTCTGAGACGCTCCTCTTCTTTCCCTCTCTCTGTCCAGGAGCTCCCAGCCAGCCTGGGTTCCTGTCTGTCCCCAAACTGAGGGCAGACAACAGCCACGGAGACTATTTGGGAACTGCACATTTATCTTCTCCAGCCCAGATTCACAGACGGGTTGAAACTGTTTCTCGGGAGATGAGCATGTCTGGGTTTTGCAGATGTCTCCTTGGAGGTACTTTATCAGAGTCAGAGCTTTCCACTGTGACCCAGGGAAGGTTTCTTCCTAAATCCCCTCTTCAGATATTTCATTCAACCCTCCAAGTTTTGGGCAAGTCTGCATAAAAATCACATCCCACCTAAGCCCTGCATCTCCCCACCCTGGGGCCCACGGGGACAGCCCCCTCAGTAACAAGTTCAAAATCATCTGAGAGAAAAGGGGCAGAAGTCAGAAGTGGTTCTGAGCCTGCATTGCACCACACCAGATGTCTTCCCCATCTGGGGGCTTTTTTAAGCTGTTCCTTTGGAGCAAGACAGCTTTGTTGCAGCCAAGAGCAGTTACAAATCCACCTGGCAACTGCTTCACCTCCCACCACCGTGTCCATGTACCCACCGTGGCTCTCTGGATGCTGGGGATGGTTCAGGAGGGACACCGGGGGACGTGAGGGAGATGCTGTGTCTGATCCTATTGCTGGACTGTCTCTTCCAGGCTGGAGGGGACAGTGGGGAAACCGAGACACCAGGGTGTGTGAGTGGGCAGCATCTGTGCCAGCTGGGACCCCCCCATGTCAGTTGATGAATTTCTCCGACTCCCTTCTTGCCTCCGCAGGAAGCCCCAGCGTCCTCCCACTCATGCTCCAGCATCACCCTCATGAAGGAGCCCAGCGGGGTGAGCTGTGTCCAGTCCCGATCTATATGGCATTGTTCACTGGCCTTGTGATTGCAGGAGAGAAGGAGAATTGCCCCATGCAATTTGCTCTAAGCCGAGCACAGGGGCACGGCTGAGATGGAGGCAGCTTGAAAGTCTGGGCAGCAATAACACAGCTGTGCCTGTGAGCATAATGCCATGTGCTGAGATGGACAGTTGGATGGGTGGTCATCTGAGGGGACATGGGACTGTCTGTGGGTGGGATGAGGAGCATTTTTGCTAGGAGTGACAGCACGAGTGATGCTGAGCTGAGTTTGCAGCCAGGCTGGGAGAGCAGCAGGGTGGGAGGGATGAGCTGCCCTGTTCCCTGCATGACGTGCACCGCCCCGGCACCTTGGCACTGAGGCCAAGGCCCATGACCTCCGGCAGCCCTGCTCCTCTCCGTATGGCCTGGCTCCTGCACTGCTCTGCCAAGCCATAGTGTTGCAGAGGATCCTCACCAAGGTTCTTGGAGGTGCCAAAGCCATCCGCTTCATCCCCCGCTCTTGGCAGAAGCACGTCCCTCATCAGACCCCAACAGTGAGTTTAGACCCACCGTAGCTCAGCTCTTCCAGAGCCCTGCAAGTGGGCAAGAGCCCCCCGTAACTACAAACAGCCTGAAGTGACTGAAGAGCGGGCATGCTCAGACTCAATTTCACCCCTGATTTTTCTGTGTTAATGAAAACACTCTTTTTCTTAAATCAGTATAAATGTCAGAACACCCCCCCCCCCCCCCCCGACTCCCGCGGCCAC